TGTAAGTTAGATTATCCATTAAAAATATAATTTGAATATTAAAATGATTAAATTATTATTAATATAATAATATAAAAATAATTTTATTTAAAATAGTTTAATAAATTTATAAATTGAGTGGTATTTTTAATGTATAGATTAAGCCGTAAAATTTTTTAAAAAGAAGTTTTCAAAGGAAAAATTAGAAAGTGAAATGAAGTGCAAGGGTACACCAGTCATTTTACAATGGCCACAAGGCCCCACAACCTCATATTTACCGGCTGTCAACCCACCACGTAAAACAAAACACCTTCCCTTATCCAAAACCGCTAGCGGTGTTTAAAGCATGCCGTAGGCCCAGCAAGCGTATTTCCACTGTAGAGCATGATTAACGAGAACCGGCCTTACGTGTCATCATCTAATTGGTCTATTTAGTATCGTCGGGATTCACAGCAACACAACCAATAAACAAAAACCAGTCGCTCTCATTTCTCTCTCACACATACACACACAGAGAGACAGGCACTCTTTCTTTCTACTTTCTCTCTCCCGAATGTGTTTTTTCTCCCAACAAAAATCTCCGAATTTCCCTTCGATTTCTCTCTCTTTTGCTTTCGAAAATTCCATAGGCGTGCTCGCCAATGCTTGATCTTTCGATTAAAAGGAATTTTGAGGGGGTGACGCTTGGATTTTAATTGTGTTTTTGATTCGGCTCACGGGAATTCGAGTTGAAGCAGGGAAAATGCTGGAGGCAATGGAGAGTTCAGTCAATGGCGGTTTCTCGCAGTTGCAGAGCTGTGGGGATAGCAGTGAGGAGGAGCTCTCGGTGCTCCCTCGTCACACGAAGGTGGTGGTGACTGGGAATAACCGGACTAAGTCTGTTCTGGTGGGTCTAGAGGGTGTGGTGAAGAAGGCAGTTGGGCTTGGCGGATGGCATTGGCTGGTAATTATCTGGTTTCCCATTCGTTTTTACTGAAATGGGTTTATGTTTTTTTTTTTTTTTTGAGATTTTGGCTGTGATTGGTTTGTTTGCATTATTTAACCCTGAATTGCATTGTTTTTCATTAATGTGAGTCGAATTCTAATTTGTTTGCATTATCTCTGTAATGTCGTTGCATGTCCCGCTTCAGAGCTGCTTTTTGACTAAACTGGCAAATTCAGATGCTTCATGTGTGGTTTGGCTGAATTTCGATTCATTTTTTCAGTTACAAATTTCAATTTTGGGGTTTGGGATGTGGGTTTTGATTGCATGTTGGTTTCGATCAGTGGATCTGGTGGTTTCAAAGGCTTTATGGGCTAAAGGGTATGGATTTAACATTTTTAGTGGAAATTTGTATCATTTTCTGCTTTACTTTAATGTATTCATTGCAATCTTATTAGTCTTAATATGTTCTGTTGCATTTCCCAATTTCAGAAGCCTTTTGAAGTTAATTAATTAGGATGTTTTGCATGATTCAAACTTTTTAAAAATTATTTTCGCAATAAAATTTCCATATTTCGTATTCAAAAATTCGATGCCATAATCGGTTATGCAAATTTCTTGCATGTATTTCTTTCAGGCTTTATTTGCTCATCGATTTTCCATTTCTATTTTCTTGTTAAATTAATTCCATTTTTTTTTAAATTTATAACATGATTATGATGTACTGTATTCTTTCTTTGGTTTGAACTTGTTAAATATTTATTTTGTTCGGTTGAGCAATTATCAATTTTGTTAATTTGTTAATGTTAATTATCCTTTTATATGAACGCATATTTAATGTTTTCCATACTGTTTTTTTTTCTTCTTTTTGGGTTATAAAATAAAGTAAGTACATGTTTGTCTCATTTGCGCTAATTTGGGGATTTAATTAATTGGTCAAGCTGAAATTGTATTTTGTTTGCCTGTAATTATTTTGTCTTTTCTCTGACAAAATCATATCTGCATATCCACATGTTTTTTTGACAAACATAATCATATCCTGCCTTTGGATTCCAACTTATACTTATCTTTGTTTTTCCTAATAAACAAAATCTCAGGTCCTTACCAATGGAATAGAGGTCAAGCTACAGAGGAATGCACTTAGTGTGATCGGAGCTCCAACTGGGAATGAGGAAGATGATGACCTTGATTTCGAAAACATGCAGTGGAATGGATCTGATATGGGTAAGTCTTATTCGGTTAATTTCTCTGGATTCCTTTCAGACTCTAAATTTGTTGAGTCAGCTAGAGTTTAGTTTAGCACATGGGTAAGAACTTTTTCAAGTCAAACTAATTTTCAAATGCAACTAGTTTTACAAATGTGTATCTGTTAGTGACTTTGGTGTCGTAAGTTGAATGGATAGAGTAGTGCTGTAATCCTTTCATGTTTTAATTAGCTGTTTCGTTCAATCTCTAAGTTTATTATTACAGGGAAATAATTTCATCTAGGAAAAGAGTTTGAAGTTAGTACATAGGATCCATTGTGTCTTCACCTTTTACTTTCACTATTTTTAAAAGCGCCACTGTCTAACTTCTTTATCTTTTATTGGTCCCACCACCCCTTTTTTTTAATCCTGCTTATTCTTATCTCTCATTTTCCAGCGTCGGATGACACCCAGAAGTCCCATAGATCAAGGCATAGAACACATAAATCAACCGGATCATCTCATAAGACCATGAGCAGGTCTCTCTCTTGTGACTCCCAATCTAAGGGATCTATATCCACTCCGCGTGGGTCCACGGTATAGATATTATTTGCAAAGCACTTCCTATAATCCTCCTTTTGGTCTCTTATACTATTGTTATACTTAATAAAGTATTGAAAAAATCTATTTGGCTATCTTATTTAGTCTTCTTCCATCCCATTTCAAACTGTGTCATTTGTAGAAGGTTGACCTCAGCAAACTCGAGATGGCTGCTTTATGGAAATATTGGCGACATTTCAATCTTGTGAGTGTTTATTGCAGCAAAATTGAATAAAAACTATTCACACTCCCATGTATCCACATACATCTTTTGATGTATTAACCTTGTTATTTTGGTTAGGTGGATGCCATCCCCAATCCATCAAAGGAGCAATTAGTGGACATTGTTCAGCAGCACTTCATGTCACAGGTACTTAGAAAAGTTTGCTTATTGCTTCATTTGATTAGGTTCTTTTCTTCCTTGAATGTATTGTAGTGTGCACCACGTGACAATTGTTTATTGCATCTAACTAGTTCATGATGATTGTTATCAAGTTCGTAATCAATATATGCCTTTAGCACTGTATTGGAAATTGGAAAAAAAGTGAATTTGTCCCAGGCACTTTCTGGGATGCTGACTTTCTGGGATATGCTGGGAAAAAGTATGCTGCTTCGATATTGTTATTTCAATAACCTAAGTTTGGTGTGCTTTGCTGTTGTAGCAAATGGACGAGTTGCAGGTCATAGTGGGGTTTGTCCAGGCAGCCAAGAGACTGAAGACGGTGTGCAAATGAGCTGGAGAAACAAACAACCGATACATCCTTGAGTTCAGTTATGAATGCTAACAGATACTGGTATCCTAATGAAAGTCCC